TAATACCAGCCTTTGTTACACCTGTTTCAAATATACAATTTTGTGCCATATACTTTGCCATTTAGAGCTAGGAAAACAAAGATGATGACCCCGAGGCCTTGTAACAAGCATATGTTGCACTGTCTCCAGCCAAAACGACTGATATTTTTGATAAGAGTTACCAAAGACACTGGCAGCAAAGAGTTGGACCTAAATGCAGAATTGGCCACTCTGAGCATTCCCACTCCCCGTCTGACACTTCAGGCACTGAGACACTGGCTCCTGAGCATCTCCCACAGTGCCCAAACACCTGCGGCCACTCACAAACCAAAATGAGCCTCTTTTCTTTTTCGCTTCGAGATGCTGGAGTAGGAGTTGCCAGTTCCCAGTGCAACAGCCTCTTTTGGTGAAAGAAATCACCACCTTATCATTGTGTAAAAAGCTGCAAAACTTTAAGATGTTATTTGGTAGTCGATGGCGTAACTAAAGACTGTGAAAGACATAAAGAGGACGCTGAGGGATGCAGCAGTGCTGAAAAGGAAATTCCTTTTTACCACCAGAAGAAACACAACTTACATGATATATTCAACTGCTCTCTTTCTTCACAAAGTTAAAAACAATAATTCAAATGTACTGACCACGTGTTGCTGGCTAAGATCTGAGCTAACTTAGCTCTTGACAACTCAGTAAGAATAATACTGAGAAATTGTCTGGGGACAGTAATTCACTGGGTAACCTGGAGCCAGCTCTAGGCTTAGACAGATCAAGCAGATGCCCAAGACGGCATCAGGTCAGGGAAGGACAGGAGCACGTGGCTCTGCAGCCTCTGTAGAGGTGCAGGCAGGCACTGCACAAGCACACTCCTGCAAACCATTCTCTCCGAGGTCCTGCCTCTTGGTTTTCCCCTGCTCCCTTCTCACCTCTTCCTCTGGGGGGATCCTGTGCCCAGGCTGGGCTGCCACGGAGCGCAGGTTTGCCCAGCAGTGCTGACTTGGCTCGGCTCCATCCTGAGCTGAGCTCCTGCCAGCTCCTGGCCACCAGGCTGACTCACTCCCAAGTTACTCTGTCTACAGCCAGACTTTTAAATGCATGAACTTTTTGTTTAAATTCATAAAACTGGCTCTGACTTCTCAGTGGCTTATCCAGATACTGCTTCCCGCTGCAGCATACATATGCTACATTTCTTCACATCTGAATTTTAAGTTTGGCCTAGTGAGTGCTATCATTGCTAATGACTCTCCAGTCACGGCTTTGCTGCATATATTCTCTTTACCTTTATTTTTTGGCTTTATACTTCCTCGAAAATATCTCCTCATGCCAAAATCAATCTACTTCAAAACAATTCTGAACCATCGATTTGGTTCATATTAGTTACGTACAGTACTGACAAATAAGCAAGTTTGCAGACTGCAAACCCTTTGGAGAGGAATTCTGACAACAAACCTTACTCACAGAACAGCAACATATTATATAAATCAAAAGATCTATGGAAAGACAAATCCAGCCTGAACTACTTTTCTGTTACAGCAGGAGGAAGTCGCTAATGTGATTTTCTGTCAAGAAGCACATGTCAATGCATAAAAACCAGGCTCCTATATTTTAAGTTTCTTTAATTATCTGCCTGCTCCCCAGCACCTACACTCCTTATTTGCCTCACTCACATCCCCCTTATCATGTGCTCTGGCAGTTCTTCCTCTGCTGCCCTGACTGTTTCTGGCATTTTTTTCCAGTATCCTCTCCAGACATTTCCTCCTGCCACCAAATTCAATGGCCTGAAGAGAGGTACCCTGTGCTGCTTTATGCTCCTTAGGGTATGTGAGGAACCTGCACAGGGCTGGCAGGTATGACACAGGACCTCTGGGAGCCCAGTGGGCAGCAGTATATGCTACAATGCCTACAAGGGTAGTACAAATCTCTGTTTAAGTGACTGGATCCTGCTCCCAAAACCAGGTTTTTTTTTGCTCTCAACAGTAAACACGTAAGTGACCCTGGTGGCACGCTTCCCATCCGAGGCTGTGTGCATAAACCTCGTGTTTCTGGCAATATAACGTCCTTTAAATGGTTTGTCACCTGTTATTTCAAGATCTGTGCCTTTTCAAAACTAAGGAACCATGCCTCCATAAAGGTTTAAATGCCACCTTTGATGTGTAAATAGCAAAGCCAAGCCGGGCAGAGCAGAAAAGCAGGTCCTTTTGGTTCAGTGGACAGATGCTGTCCCATCTCATTGGCATCTCTTTTCCAGGTACAGATTGCACAATCATGCGTGACTTTGGGATATACACCTGAAACTTCTGGTCTGTATCTTGTCTCCTTTATGCTTTGGTCTAAAACATACTAACAGGAAACCACTTCTAATTATTTTAAGCCTACCTATTAAAATGCAGCACTTCCAGATTCGAAGCCTCCTCGTTTTCACTCGAGAACATAAATTAGCACACAAGTATATGGGGATTGAAGAGACAGAATGTGAGGAAACAGGAGTAGGTTGGAGTCTTGCTATTAGTTACTAATTACTATTCTCTTAAGGACTACAGAAAAAATACTCATCAAAACGTGCCTGTCGGCGTTAAGCCCTGGCACACGGTGGAGACACACTGCTCACAGAATGGGGGGTTGACAGTCCCTCACCAGCAGGCTGCTGCAACAGCAGTGTCTTTGGCAAAGAAATACTGCTTTGTGGGATTCTTGTCAGGGGACAAGAAGTGGAAAGATGGAAAGGAGGAAAAGATCCTGAGGATCTCTCATCTTCCTGCCGTTCTGAAAGAAAACAATGGAGCTCTGGAGCCTGTGCCCACATGAGGAGGACACAAAGTTACAAGGAAAGATCAAAGACATGAAGAGAATTCAGACAAAAAACTAAAAGAGAGCAAGAAAAAAAAAATCTGATAATCTTGAAATGAAACAAAACAGTAAAATCAATTTTCACCCAGAGTCATCTCTCTGGTCCCAGATAATGCAATATTCAGCTTATACTCAGTTATTTTTCAAAACATCAGTACTTTGGTGTAAAACAACAGCAGACTAACTGATTCTTCCAGTCACACACCTATTAACCCCATCATTTTTCCTGATCTTCTGGACTTCAGCAGCACATCAATCTGACCAGTTTCTGCTTGAGCACGAGATGAAGAGTATGATTAATTAGCAAAGGAGGCTCAATGACAGTTCAGTTACAAAAGCAATCAGGGAAATACATCTAAATAAACATGACTGCTGTGGGAAAGGAGAGCCCAATTGCTGTGTGCACAACATGACTCTAATTTTCCGTTTGTACCAACTCCCACTACCATCTTCCTTGACATGGGAAGTGGTAAATAGTATGGCCCAGAAACCAGCAAGACACAAAGAACATTACCTAGAAGAGTTGTGTTTCACTTCCAAAAGGCTCCACAGAGCTGTCTGTGTGAAGAATATTTCATATGGAACAGGAGATCAAATTCTGGGACTGAGACCCACCTCATTAGCGGAGCTATATATCAAACCACAGAAAAAGTGGTTTCACAGACAAGCACATCAATTATATAATTACCCTGCTGGCAGCACTTCTGCTTCCACAGTATTTATATTCAGTTTATTTAAAAACTTCCTGTACGCATATGCATATTTCTCCATGCATTTCTTATGCATAATTGCTGTTTGCTTTATGTTTGTTAGCTTTTGAACTCACTTGCCCATGACCTTTCTGTTATTTAAAAAAAACCAAACAACAACAAATCCCACAAAAAACCACTTGCAGAGTGTTTAAAGCAGAAACATCTAGTCAAAGAAGGGAGAAAACTACTGTGATGCATGTAAAACAGGGTGGTGACAAGCACATGAAATTATTAGGTATTCATATTCTGTTCTCCAACTCCATTTGTATCTTGCTTTTGAAGAAGGGCAGCAACATAGAAAGGTGATCATTCTAAAGATCACTCCCAACAGGAATAAAAATGAGACAAACCCAGCTTTTACAGCCAGATTTTTCTTATCAAATCCTTTTCTCCCGCTAGCTTTGACATATCGCTACCGAGCGCACACATCTCTTTCTAAGACTCCAGGCAGGGGACATGATGTCTCTTCCTGATGCTCAGATTTAGCTGGGAATGGTGACGAACTGGCATCTCTCTTCTCTGCCCCTTCATTCCCACTACACTGCATCTGAGCAGATTATTCTTTCAGTGCATGTTTTCCAGGCAGTCTTTCCCCACAATGCTTTTTTCTGGCAGAGGCAGCAATCGGTTCATCCAAGCGCCAGGAAAACGAACCAGCAGTTAGGCAAAAACGTGATTGCAGCTGGCAGAGAGCAGCAAACAAAGCAGGCTCATGGCATGCTGTTTGGAAGACAGTTCTCACAGCTTATGCTACTGTCATATTTAGATTAATGATGCATTTTATTTTCTAAACAAGCTAAAATCCCTCCCTCCTTTCCCTCTCACTCATACACACACAGATGCTTCCATCACACAACTCTCTGTCTCATGTACAATTCAGCTCCAGCTCGTTACAAGTTGATCAAGTTATCTTTGACACTGAATTAGGAATTTGATCTGAAATAAGCTTTCACAGAAAGGAAGAATACTGTGCCTCTACACCTGACTAATCAATCTTCGCTCGTTAAACAGTACTAAATAATCTCTGTTTAATTCCATCCACTCAGATTAAACCCTCACCCAAGGCAAATGCCTTTCCGAGGGAAATATAACATCTTTTTTGACCAAATAAACCTTCATCAGAATTTAAAAGCCAGACTTGGTTAAAAATGTGACTTTTTTTTTTAACTTGAATGTTATAAATAAAAGTATATTTCTGATTTTCCACCCAGTCATCACCACTGGCAACTGTACACTCACTGCTGGCAACTGGGGAGTTTGTGGAGTACAACTCCAAATGGGGAATTACAGCTATTTTTGCTGTTCTGTGAGCTTCTGATCAGAGGTTGCTGCTGTACTGCCTAACCTTTTCAGAGAAATTATCAAAGTGCAACATTAATCCATTGAGCATATTGAGGATCCATCACTATCATCAGACAAATTACCCACCTGAGAGGATATCTTCCGTGTTTTCAGAGGAGCTGGCTAGATCTTTTACTTCTATACCTATATTCCAGTTTAATCCTGTTCAAAGGGTGTTATAAAAACATATTCTTAATACACCGAAGACATTTACTCCTGACCATCAACATATTTACATCTCTCGTCCAAGTTCTCATCTCGTCTGTGTCCTGTTCTATTGATAATCCTTTCCAGAGCCATCCTTAACATCACAAATTATGGGATATCTCACGGAAGCTCACTCCTAATTTTATCCCTCTGGGGGCTTGCAATCACTTCGGCACTTCACATGTTACTCAAATCCTCAGTATGTAACAGAAAGTACTCTGAAAATGGGACAAAGTTATTCTGCTGGAAACTCTCCAAAACCAGACCAGTAAGTATTGGGAAGCTCTTGGTACTTGCTCCACTGGGAAGGGAATGCAGGTCAATTCATTACGACTGCCACAATCTTACAAGTGTTCTTGGTACCTAGACCTCCATATAAGCAAACCTTGCTGCATCTTAACAGCCCTCACAGAAAGAATAAGCACTGCACATTCCGTGGACCTGCTAAAGGTCAATATTACAGAAAAGGGACAATCCAAGGACACAAAGAATGCATAACTTGATGACTTACAGAAACTTTTCTAATAATGACGTGCACCTGGTCAAGTTAATTTTCCAGCTTTCCATTCTGGTCTGCTGTTAACTGCACTTTCTTTTTTTTTTTTTAGAGTAAAACAAAACACCTTTTGCCTGCTGTCATCCAGTCTCATTTGCATTTTTGTTTTTTTATGACGCCTCTCCAATGACAGAGAAGAAAGTCCATTTTGCTTATTTACAGGCATTTGTATTCACCTCTGAGCAGGTTCAAATGAAAGTTATTCCACTGCTGTAATAGCCTGGTGAATAGGTCTGAATCACTGGGCACATCACTACAGGTAATAGTGCTAAGGAAAATATGCTCAGGGATGGGGAAAAGGAGCCATTCAATCTAAATGGAGCCAAAGGGCCTGGTAGAAAAACTTCAAGCTTAAATTTGCTGCTCAAGGTTGATACTAATAAACTTCAGGTGATGCTTTCTGTGAGAAGGCAGCCTGGGGATGTGCTATAGCATATTTCAGGGTCAAAATTATTCTGAAACACTCAAAACTACGCCCTTAAACATACAGTGGAGCATTTGCCCGGAGATAATCACCTTTACTTTGTTAATAGTTCTGAAATATGCCAAGAAATGGGCTTCTGAGAATCATGGCTATTTTCTAATAGGTAGATTTGTGATGAGCATTTCAAAGGTCCCAATCTTGAGTAGCCACTGTTTCTGCTAATGGAAGAGTTGCAAGTGCTTAGCAACCCTCAAAAAAGACCAAAGTTAAATCCCTGAAGGTCATAGCCATTACCTATTTACAACTTTTCATATCAAATTAAGAGCTTGCATAATAATATGAATCTTCACACTAAAACTGACACAATCTGAAACAGTGATACGTAAAAGAACAAACAATGTCATTAAAGCAAGCAAATGAAGATTCACACCTATGCAAAAAGATGTGTGCTTAAAATGTAAAGTTTGTTGCATTTATTTTTTTCTTTTCAGCCAGCATTGAACAAAAACCACATTGAGAAAACTAACAAGCTTTTAACCTGAACTAGCCATGGCAAAAACAAACTAATTCAAATACCTCATTACTGGATTCCTGTTACAATAGGGCAGAGCTAAAGTTCAGCAAAAGAAAGTGTTCTTGATGATTCAGTTCAGCGCTGAACAAAAATAACACTCATTATTAGCATAAACAGGTTCAGCCTCCAAAATGTGCCATTTTGACACCTGTGGTGACAGTATGTGCTGCATGCATCTTACTGCATACTCCCTTCTGAGGGATCACTGCAGCATCCATTTGGAACAGCATGCCCTGTTCAAATATCCCCATCCCACTCTCTCCTAGAGATTCAAGCTCCTGCTTCCATGGGAGTTGGTGAGGAACAGCATGTACAAAAACCTACTGTGTAAGCAAAAAACACACATTTACGTCATAAAGTATAGGATGCAGGTTTTGGAAGGGTTCTTTTACCTCCTGAAGCTGTCTGTGCTGACATAACTCACTGTATTTTAGCTGTTCCTAAAAGACATCATCGGTTACTTTCTGTGACACATTCTGCATTTGACTGGCTCTTATTTTATTATTCATTGTTCAAATTCTCAAAGTGTATTGATTTCTTAACTTGAGAGCCCCAGTTGGGGGTGGAAGAAAGCCAGTAAACCTGCAGCAGTTTCTGCCCTCAACTCCACTTGCATTTTTCTCAGTAGTTTTAGACTGGATGCCAGTGAGACAGCACAGGCAAGCCAGGCACTGATTACTGTGGGACAAGTTAAACACTCAGTTTGTGAAAAACATATCCTGCTCTCAAACGTATTTCTCTATCAATAAAATATTATTTGTCACTTAGTAAACAAACAAAACCAAAAAGCTGTTTCTCTGCCCCAAGCCCCATTTTAAAAGCCTGAAAGGACAATTTCTCAGAGACAGAAGTCACCATGCATTCCAAATTCTGACTGCACTAATCTGAAGCACTTCATTTTGTATCTCACTCCATCAGTGAGCATTTTCTCTACATTCTAGCAATCAACTAAAGTGAGGAGATAGACAGGATCTTTTTATGGCAAGGAAGTGAGTGCACTGGCATTCAGACAGCAAAGCTTAATCTGGAATTAAAGTCTGCGAGCATGCCTTAAATGCCACTTCCACTGCTCATTCACATTATTTTCTCTAAAGGTTTTTCCTCTGAAGCAAATATAATACGATTTTGAATCATCTACCAGCATGTCAGAGTTGGAGTTAAGTGTACTTGTTTTGGATCAGTTTTTTTTTTTGCTGCTGCTAAGATGTGTTCCGATCATTCCAGAGCTAACTAGTGAAACCATCCTAAAATAGCACTGTCAAGAGCTTACAAGGGCAGACAGTCATCTCTGCAATAAAAAGGACTTGTTGAAGAGCATTTCTGATGGAAGCAGAATTCTCAATTTATGCTAGACAACACACTCAGTTTGATTTGCAGCCACAGGTGCTCAGCACCTGAAAAAACTGTTCCAGTTAAACATATGGGGGAGGGAGATACTGTGTCTTTCATTACCAGATTAAATGGCATACAGGAAAAGATCAACAGTGCTGACAGACAGCTGAATTTCATTTTAGTTCCTGATCAAAATATATCCCACTGTTATTTTTATCACAGAGCCCAGATATGGATTATTTTTTCAAGTCTGGATTTGACGAAATGTCTGATAAATAATACTCTTACATACTTTAATCTATTAGAGTTATGTATTATTTTGTAGGCATTACATCTCGTGTATTTTTCAAAAAGATAGTAAATCAAAAGATAGAAATATATGTAATAAACTGTGTTGATATTATAGCTTTATTTTTTTTTTAATAGAAAATGCTTTGCAAACCATTCAGCTGCACAAACACAACAAGGCTGGTAGGCTATACAAATGTATATGCCATAGTAGGTACATTAGTTTTCAAAACAAATTGCTTTCTTTTGCTATTGCATAAAAAATATATCCTAACACTAATACTAACATTTCCACCTGCAGTAATAGACTTTTTTTTTTTACAGACAAACTTTACTCTGCAAGCAACTTCAGAAGAGAGACATATGAATCTTTAACTTCCTCTTTTCAATAACTTGCATATCAAATGTTCTTCGTCTGAAGTAAAGTTCTGTGATCTCACATTTAGTAAGTAAGCAAAAGAATGAGTCAGGCTTTGTTTTAGCTGTTAAGTCTTGGTACACCTTTAGCACTCCCTCCTCTTCACACAAGGCTTCAAAGGACAACTGTTGGCTAGCACAATAATAGACACAGGCTTAAGCACACAGGCAGCCACAAGTGAACTTATGCTGACAGACAACCAATATCTGCTCTGGCAGCTTTTCTGATCCTTATACAAAAACACAATAACCATGAATTAATTTGACTGGATGCAGGGAAGATGTCTTTAGTAGAAGACACCGCAGCAAAGCCACTTTACCCAATAGGGGTTCCCTCTGAACAGCAAAATGGAATATTTCCTCTGCCCATCTCTGACAGCAAACCCTGCACTCCAGGCATCTGAGCATTTCCAGGACTGAGCCACAGTTTGTAAAACTCAGGACTACGATTAAATGAAGATAGAAACTTAGTATATTAAAAAGTATAGATCTCAAGATATGAACTTTAAATTGCATAGAATGTAACAAATTAGCCCACCTTGCTAAAAAGCAGTGTTGTTTTTCACAAGTAGTACAGGAAATTGCACGTGGTTGTAAATATAAATTGATAATGGAATTTGATTGTGATTCCAAACTATTACAATTGGAAACACTTTCTTTGTAGAAACTGGATTCTTTAAAATATTTGAACTGTGATTTTTTTTATCGCAATACTAAAATGGATACATAAGATCTAGCAGCATCTTTTTTAACTTTAGTGCATGAACATTCTCCTGTGAGGACCTATTTACAAAACAGATTTTTTCAGGGTCACATATACAATATAGAAAAGTTCACTGACTTTGCCACCAATTACGTAATTTTTTCAGCAAAGTAATTGCCTTCAGAAATACAAGAAAAATGCCAAATGAAATTTTACTCCTACAATTAGAGTTACCACAATTATTTCATGTGTACTCTGATCTTATATATTTCACAAATGTTAAAACATGGAACAAGACTGTTTTTCTTTAGCTAATCACAAACCTCCATTTCTAAACAACCATAGAGCTCTAAATTCATCAGGTGGGACTTTCACCAGTTATCACAAGAAACTGAGTTCTGGACTAGGAGTAAGAGTGACAAATTGAAGCTTAAGAGACATATTAAAAAATGTTACAAAAACCAAATACAGGGGGATTAATGGAAGTGCCTTGTCCACCCTCTTATACTGACAGCACAGTGTTGTAACTAGCACTGTAACTTCAGCCAACATGCAAAGGACTTTTGTGTCATGTATTGAATTGATGTTAAACACATTCATACAGAGTACAGTAACTGGAATTGTAAGAGCTTATAACTGGAGTTCTTGTTCATCTAAAATGAAAACCTATTTCACCCTATTAAATTCTGATGGTATGACATTTGCATGTACAGAGGCTGACAGCTGTAGGGTTAGAACGCATCTCAGAGCCCTCAAACCCTGAAGTATTGTGTGATTACCTTCTTTCCATATTTCACAA